ATTTTGGTCTCAAGCCGACATGACTTAAAATCAGTGGCAGAACAGCTTCTGTGAATCAAAGTGAGGGATCAGGCCATTCACTAAAATGCCATACTGAAACAATGGAGACAAGTGACAATACTTTAAATAGAAAGCAAAAATAGAATTGAGGGGCAAAAGCGTTCTCATTCAGCAATGAAATAACAAAGTTTTGATAGTAGGTGGTTAACCATCATTTCCGGAAAAAAAAAATTAAAAAAAATCCATGACTGAATGAGAAAAGAGGAAAGAAAGAGAACTCTAACACAACAAAAGGAAACACATTATCTATAAGGCTAAACTCAGCAATCATGTGTATTACCTAAATTTATAAACATAAAGCCAGATCTAATTTCTCACCAATACCTCTGCACAACATGCTAACCTTCCACAGGGAAACCTTAGGTGTTTTCTCTAGTGTGTGTGCAGCATCCATTATATGAAACTGTAAAGGAAATAGTGCTAGATCGGCAAAACTGAGAAATTCAGCCAAGAAAACCACAGCTTGAAAGTTACAGTGATGACAGAAGGATTTACTGCTGTCCTGCAGCTACATAGGAAGAGGTAGATGATATTTAGTCCTTTTCTACCCTATCAGTCTCCACTCCTTGGGACAGGACCTGAGTAAGACTGACTGAAGCAGTCAAATAAAATGGAGATGTTATGCTGGAAGTGAAAGCATTGCCAGATGAAAAAGAGGTGACAGGCTGGAGCGTGCCTAAAGTGCTTGTTAACTCTTCAATGTCTGAAAAGACAAATTGATTATACATTCAACTCCTATGTAGCAGGTTTGCATTGCCAAGTTAAACACTAGAAATCACATTTTTTTAAGTTGTTGAAGTTGATGCTGGTACTCCTCACGGGGTTTTACAGACTTTGCCTAGGACAGTGAATTAGCTTGATAAAAGCACTCCTGTAAGGCAAGTAAACAATAACCCTGCTTTATGAAAGAAGGGGCACAACAGGTTGAACTGCAGCTGCTCATGAAAAAGAACTCAGGCTTTTGGGTCCTTGCACATATTTAGCTGATTCCCACAAGCCTCCACCTCCTTACTGCAAAATAAAGCTTTTCAATTTCCAAGTGTTTTGCTGCATTGATGTGCAGATACTGAAGAGCAGGGCTAGAGGCTTCCTCAGCACTAAGATCTGTACAGGCATGCAGAGTCTGATGGCAGGCAGTAGGATCCTCTCCTTTCCCCTGGAATAGTATTCAAAGGGTCTAACACATCGAGAATGTGCTCCAGAAGAGCTGAAGAGCCACCCAGTGATGCAATCTGACTCCAGGCTTGAATTTCCTTCATTTAGAGGGAGTTCTCACCTGAAGAGCCTGGCAGTCATGAATAAACATAAGTACCGAAGTTTCTGGTTACCAGCAAATTTCCATGATTCTTTATCTTGGATCTGGATTAAATATGAAACCAAACTGAAGAAATTATGCGTCAGGGCACTGATGTAGAAGCAAGGCTGGCAATAAACTAAAAACTGCAGCCCCAGAACTTACTACAGGTCGTTTCAATCTCATCCAGGCATCTCTGTTCAAAAACAGACTTCTGGTTTATTGGATGTTTCTCCTGCCTCAGGCACTGTGGCAAAAAGGATGATACTGAAACACCAACCCTTGATATGCTCAGTACAAAAGCATCCATGGCTGCAGATAAGCTACTGTGGGTTCTGGAAGTAATAAACTTCAGACATTTCACCCTCTTTTGTACAATAACCCTTAGATTTTGACTGGAGGATGAATGGAGCCAAACCAAAGAACCAAAGGCTGTAAGTTTGCTTCTTGTGTGAAATGGGGGGAGGAAGACCTCCTTCTAAAGCTTTTCCTGAGGTCCAAATAAATACAGAATACTCATTTTTCACAGCACTAAGTCTAAGTACTAAGGGGCAAAAAGCTCTGTGGAATGGAGTCACTCCACAGGAGAAAAGGCACAGGTCTTCTCTCTCATCTCTTAACAAGCAGGGAAAAAACCTGGTAGCACATTCCATTGCTGTTGTGTTTTGAAGTTGGGTGTGGCCATGTCTTGTGAAATGATGTAAGATGTCTGCAAATAAGAAGGCTGGGAGGTGACACTCCCTTTGCTCCAGTATAAACACGCACAGTGAAAAGCACTTCGGGGTGGGGGGAAGAAGTAAATTGCCATTCATCTTAGAAGTGCTAGGAGAAAAGGGATTGTGATGCTTCCATGCAATTCTCATGGCAGATTATAGAAGAGCCTTTGAAGCACAGCACTGAGAGCCCATCATGCCCTATGGGCTATGCATGGCTCTAAGGCCCTGCCAATCTCTCTGATGCTCCTTCTTTCACATAACTAGTGCTGTAGCAAAGAGGAATCATTGGACAAGCAACATGCATTTCTCATGCATTATTCCATGCTTAGACCTTATAAACCAGGAGTGAAATGGGGCACAAATGCAATGCAAGAAAACAATGCTCCCCTGGGAATCTTAATGGCACTGCCATGCGCTTTTGAACCAGTCAGAAAAGTCAAGAAGGTATGCAATAAAATATAAGTGAGCTTTTGTAGAACATGTCTGATCAAACTCCCCATCAATGTATTCCTCTCCCCCTTCAACCTTTCAGTTCTTTTAATCTTTGTGTCAACTTCTTCATGTTTCAAATAAATTATTAATGCATTTTGTTTGACTTCAGGAACCAGGCAAGGTCTTTGTTGTGGTTTGATATTGGCCAAATGCCAGGCACCCACAGAAGTAGTTTGTTCACCCTCTTCTGCTATAGTTGGGCCGAGGAGAGGGGAAAAAATTAACAAAGGGCTCATGAGTTGAGATAAGGATTGGGAGAAAAACACTCTAAGGGCAAAATAGGTTCACATTTAAAGGTATAAAGTAAATTTATTTTTAACAGAGTCAGAGGAGGATAATGAGAAATAAAATAAGCTTTTAAAACACCTTTCCTCCCTCCCCAGCCCCTCCCTCTTTCTCACTGACAGGAAGACAGGGCCATGGGGGTTTTGATCACTTAATATCTCAAGATCTTCTGGTTGCTCAGGGAGAGGGGTCTTTTCTCTGCTATGCTGTGGAGTCTCTCCCATGAGCAAACAGTCATCCCAAAACTGCTGTGGCATGGATCACTCGTCCACAGGGTGCAGTTCTCTAAGGACAGGCTGCTCTAGTTTGGAAGCAAGGCCCTCCCTCTCTATCTCTGGAAGCAGGGGCCCTCTCTCTCTGTTTGGGTCTCCCACTGGATCACAGCTTTCTCTGCCATCCACCTGCTCCAGCATGAGCACTTTTCCCATGGGCTGTGAGTGGATCTCTGCATCCCCTGTGGATTTAATGGATTACAAGGGGATAGTTTGTTTCACCATGGTCCTCACCATGGCTCGAAGAGGAATTTTGGCTCTGACACTTGGAGCACCTCCTCCTCTTCTTTTTCCACTGACCTTGGTGCCATCATATTGTTTTCTCTCACATGTCCTCACTTCCTTCTTTTCTCTGACTAGAAGAACTGCTGCTTGTAGGTACCACTGCCATCAAGTTCCACCAATCTGAAGATTTCTGCAGCATCTTGCAGTGCCCAGAGGTGGATTTAATCTATGTTCAGCATCAGGGAATCGCTCGCTGTGTTTCTGCTGCTGGCCATGCGGCCCCACCACCATCACGTGGGCAGTGGTGGCCACCGCGGGCCACTGGCATTATTTAATGCCTCTCTTCATGCAGAGTGCTGGAAAGGAGAAGCTGCCACCCCTGTCCTTCTTCTAGGGGCAGCCAGGCAGGCAAGGCTGGCCACAAGCCACGCTGAGATGGCAGCAGCTGGGGTGCATTGTTCTGTGCCATGACGGGAAATGACTCCCAGCAGCAGTACCTTGACATCCTTGGAAAAAAACTCGTCTGAACTGTTTTGATTTTCTTCTTAAATATGTCATCACAGAGGTGTTACCAGCTTCTCCAACTGGGCCAGAACCATGTCCATATTCAGAGCCATCAGGGATTGGACATGGTGGAAGCTTCTAGCAGCTTCTCACTTCTGTGGCCCCCTGCTACCAAAAACCAGGCTAAATCCACACACTCTTGGCTCAGGAGCTGGCAATTGGAAACAGCTATTTTGCCTCAGCCTCAAGTCTGCATGAACACAAAATGCTTTGGAAGCCACAATGACATTGGCAACATAATTCTTTCAATGTGGTGTAAACCCAACTTCTTCTTAATATCATTGCCTGTCAGGCAAAACTATTCATGCATTATACATATCTTGGAATTGGACACAAGATTAATGACATTATAATAATCCTTATTTCCTTTGTCATGGAAGCTCTGCATTCCTGGCAAACATAAAACATAAATTCTAAAAATTATGTCAGGATTTGTAAACCTGGTCGAACCATGGGATTTCTACCATTCTAATCCATAAAGCAGTGATTTTCATCCCAGGAGCAAAGAAAGGATTTATATTTAAAGTGCATTTAGGATTTATTGGCAGGATTTGTACTGTAAAGGCATGGAAGGATTTGCACATCTAATTTCTGAGTTATAAAAGGTTTTGAGGATTTTTGTGTGGTAAATCCAATTAGTAAGTTTAATGTAATGATTCAAAATCAAGCAACCCTGCCCCCCACTTTTTGAACCATATCAACTCCTCATGACTGCAATAGCGAGGGTGCCCTACTATTGAGTGAAGGTGTCTGGGAAAGACTCAGTTGCCTATCACGGAGACACAGGAGACAAGGAGCACAGCTTCCAGCTAGATGGGTGAACAAGAAGAAGAAACACTGATGGCACAGAGGTCTTCAACCTTTTTTCAGTTTCAACAGCACCTCCCAATGCTTTGGCTCTGATGGAGCACCTTCTCCATTTCTCTCTGCCTGGATCAGGGAACTCTAAACCTGGAGGAAGGGGGCACTTTTGCTGTGCCTCCATTGGACACAGTTCCACTGGCTGTGGCAGTGCCTTAGGACAGCCTGATGAGGGGAACAGTGAGAAGACAGCCCTGAGAGCCCCAAGGGGCAGAGGGGCTACAGGTGCCCCAGCAGGGAACCTCTCTGCCCCTGGAGAGCCCATGCTGGGGCAGCTATCTACATTGCAGCTGCACAGGAGCCCATGCTGGAGCAGGACATGCCCTGAAGGAAGTACAGCCTATGGGCAGGACTCATTCTGGAGCAGGTTTGTCCTGAAGGACTGTAGCTCATGGAAAGCCCACACTGGACCCTGGGAAAAGTGTGCAGAGAAAGGTCAGAGAGGACCAACCTCTCTATCCCCAAAATCCCCCTGTGCTGCTCAGAAGAGCTGGGGATGAAGGAGTGAAGTTAAGCCTGGGAAAAGGGGAGATGGCAGAGGTAAAGTGTTTCAGTCAGTGTTTTTTGTCTTTGTCACCATCCAACTCTGTTCTAACCAGCAATAAATTAATTTTCCCTAGGTCAAGTCTGTTTCCCATGAAACCCTTTTACCTATGATGGTAACTTGTAAGTCATCTCCTTGTCCTCATGTTAACCCAAGAGCTTTCTCATGTTATTTTCTTCCACTTGTCACCTGTATTGAAGAGTGGGAGTGAGAGAGCAGCTGGGTGCATATCTGGCAGCTGGCCCAAGTCAACCCACCAGAGAAACACAGGAGGTGTGGGCACAGTTCAGGCTGCTGAGGTTGCAGTGCCCAGGCTTTCATTTTTCCCTGACTGAAGTTTCACATTGTGCAATTCTTCCTTGCCAGTCTGTCAGTATTTTTACTTGCTAAGCTAATTTATGAGTTTATGTTTTAGAGAAAAACAACAACCACTCTGTTTCTGATGTTTGAAACAACTAACTCAAGACAAAAAAAAGTCGAAGTATTTAATTGCCCACAAGAAATGAGTTGACTATAGTAATGTTAAAAAATAACCAGTATCACTCGGATTTTAACTAGAGTCTGTTTTCTGCATTAAAATGTGCCAAATCATTTCCAAGTCTCCTGTGTCAGCAGCTAGAACGACCTGCTTCAAACAATGAAAATGACCTTTAAAGAAACCAAATTCCAACTTCAGGGTCAACTGCCTGCAGGGTAAGATCAGGGATGGAGTCCATTAGCTGTGCCAGGCCCTGCCAGTCTGCATCTGATAAAGATTTGCACAGAAATGCAGTTAGTGGAGCAAGGGATCAAATATCAGGAGAACTGGGTTGTGAGTGGTGATATAGTTCCAATCCTTGCTCACTTTAAATGTCAGGAAAACTCACTGCATCTCATGGTGCCTCACTGCAAATGCAGCAGGGGGAGAAATTATTTGCTGCTGTTCCCAAAAGGAGTTATAAAGCAGTACCTGGCTCCTAGGAGCTATGGGATTGTGGGCAGCACAAAATGTGAAAATAAGTCTAATTTAACTGCACTCTTAAATTCTGACAAAGTGCGTCCAGTAAGCAGGGAATATTCTTTATTAAGACTAACAGTATCATAGTATTTCGGCCAAGACTATGAACCTACTCAGCCAGAAAAAAAGAAAATTGAAAAGACTGTACACACACACTGACAGATCTGAAAGTATGTGATTCCTTCAATGTATTTATAAGCTGAGTTGACAACAGCTTGCCAAAGCCGCTTGGGCAATGGACTGACAGTGCCAGAGTCAAGGATTTACCTGTGACTTTCACTAGATCTCATCCCACACTTCAACCTGAATTCTCTCTGATACTTTCACAAAATGAAGGAGGAAATCCCAGTATCAGCTGAGATTAATTCTGATGAATCACAAAAACTATAGTCTGGCTGGAAAGTGAGTTTCTTTCCCATGCATCAGAAATAGTGACAGCGCAGATACTCCCCAACAAACCACAGACTTGGTAAAACCCTTAATTACTAACTTTATAAAGATTTAACAGGATAAAAAGTCCTCCTAACAGATGTACAATTTTACAATTCACAGTTGAACAATTAAGTTTTATCTTTCAACAAAGAAACCTCGTTTGTACTAAAAAATTGGGTGATTTGTATTTTCTCTTTCAATGGATCATTTAACAGATTGCTAAATAAATTTTTAAAATATGCAAATCATCTGGGAATTTTGTAATATTTCTCCAAGGGCTTTTTCCCAGTAGTTCCCACCAGATCATGCAAATTTCAAGTGATTCAGAAAAGGAAGCATTATAATGTTTTAATTGATAGAGTGTTTATTTCAGCTGCAGTTCTTTTACATTTTCTCTCTCAGATAACTCAAAACACATGTCCTCCAGGAATCCCCCTATTCTGGGGAGTTCATGACAAAAATCAAGTATTAGGAGAGATGGAATGCAGGAAATTAAGTGGTTTATGTAGATAAAATGAGCTGATTTGGGGAATACAAATAGTCCTCAATTACACTCTATCCCTGTACATGTAATTTCCATGATAAAATACGAGCTGTAATGGACATTAATGCATTGCTTGCACAGTACCCCCAGATTTTGCCTCTCCCCACATTCTTCTTGAAAGCTCCCCAGGGGCCTGGGGAAGCATCCAGCATCGGGCTGGCCACCACCTCTGGGCTGGGGGCAGCCAAACCTCATTTCCATGAAGCACTCCTGACTTGATGCTCAGGGAATCTACCTTTCCACCCCTAAACCACAACAAGGAAAGGTTTTTCTCCTTCTTTGCCATAACTACCTCCTGAGAGTGACTCTTTAATTACCCTGCTTAACAACTAGCTAGCCCAAATGTGAACCTCTGGGACAGGAAAGGGAAAAAAACCAAAAAGAAATAAGAAAGGGAAAAAATAGGCAGCCATTTTCCTAATTAGTCACATACTTACCAGGTGAAATGGGCAATGAATATGTAACTGCATGGCCGAATAACATGAGGCACAACATTACCTTTCCCCCCAATTTTCTTTAAGCTCAAAAGTTTCTGTGAGAAGCAAACTCTGCAGGGGCAGATTTGGGTACTCTGCGTGATGATGCAGAGCAACACAGTGTCCCCAGGCAGTGCAAAGGAAAGACACTTTATTGCAAAAACCAGGTCTTTTTAAGCAGCTAGACCTTTATCAGTTTATACAGTTTTAAGGCACAACAAGCCCAAGCCAACAACCACCATGCATCACGATGTGGACTCTAAGGTCCCTCTACCCCTATCCAGCTGAGTCACTCTCTCATAGTTCTCTTCCATTCAGCCAAAGTAGCAGGTCTGATCCATGATTTAACAAGGACAACAAGGCCCTTATTTTATAAGGCTTTACCTATATGCAACACACTGGCTTCAGATCCCCTGTGTTTCACTTCAATCAAAATCCAAAAAGAAAAGTTCTGGTCCTGCAGCATGGTGAGAGCTCTGCTACCTCATGCATTATTTCAGCATTAAATGTTCATAAATTGGAGAATAGGGGCAACCTCCTTCTTAAAAAAGTATAATAGATTTTTTGTAAATGTATGAGTGCAACATGTAAGAATCTGCAACTTGTTTGACATCCAGGATTTAACAACTCAGTTCCCACTCCTCATCCACATAGAAGGAACTGAAATTTCACCTTTTAACCAATTTCTTTCTAAAAACTGAACTTAGACTAAGCAGGTATTTTTCTCTCTTTTGCTTTCCTTACCATTAACTTGTAACACATCTTTATATTTTTGTTGCGGGAAAGAAAAAATTACAGCATTTGTATCATAATAATCTGTCACCCGGCAGTAGTTTGTATTCTAACATTAAGATGATGGTCACAATTTACAGTGACACACTGTCACAAAACTGGTCCTTGGAAAGCCAGAGGGGACTGACAGTGGCAAATCTGACAACTTAGGGACCAAACCCAGTACTTCCAACATACAAAGCTATTGGTGGAGAAAGTCACTGACAGGAAGATTTCCTCGTTCGACCAGATTACACCTGTAAAATTATTATGTGTTATTCCTGTTTTAGTTGGAAACCAGAAGATGGGACTTATGGTAAATTGGTCCCCTGTGGGCACTGGGGTTCTCAGCAAGTGTAGAAGTCTTACAGCTTGGAGGACTTAGGACTGAGAAGCACAAATCTCTGCAAATATCCCTTCTGCTTTGACATGTTACTTTGCTAAAGAATTCTGCAGAAAGTTACACAGTTGACTTATTCTCTGCAGCACTGATGAAGCTTTATCCTTCTTCACCTACCGAGTTTAGAAATATTCACCAACAGAAAACTAATTGACTCTCTGGAGAACAAACCTAATTTTACTTTCTTTGAAACATCAGGAAAATAATGCCAGATGTGTACCACCTTGCAAGTAGGAACACGGCAGTTGTTACTCTCTCGCATTTCTGAAGTAATTTGATTATAGAATAACTAATTACTTTCACTTTTCATGAAAAATGGAACAATTTTATACGTATATTTTAAATATTTCCTATTTGGCAAAACAAAGGTTAACTGATCTGCCTTCTACTCAGCCCTAAAAACATGTCCTGTCTCTGTCACCTGCTAGAATATGCCTTAATTTATATTTCCTTCAAGCATGCACTATAAATAGACTTCTACAGAGGTATAAGGTGGGAAGAGATCCTTATAAACACCAGCCTCTGCAAGCTTTCAGAGGGAGTGGGCAATTCTTAAGTGTCCTGGTTTAAACAGACGACAAAAAAAGATTCAGTTCAGTGACAGAACACTAATAATTAACTGCAACTTGGATCATCTGTGGAATTAAATTCCTGCTTTGGAAACAACAGGACAGATGCAACACAGGTTGATTAGCAGATGCAAATCCTCTGAAGCAAGACATTTGCAATCCATTAATAGCGACAATAGTGAGAGTACTAAAGTGAAATGTAAAAATGTCACATGTTTACTTTATAAAGCGTGGCTTGTCTGGCTCTAACCACTTACCTCAGTACAAGGAATCCTCCAGAAAATCAACCAATTGCTCAAGTGGGTAACTTTTTTCCCACCTGGGGTCATCACTCCCCTTTGGTCATTCATTCCTACAGAGCATCATCTGCTTCCCTGGAAAACACTTCAGTGAAAGGCACTATGCAAGGAACAAAACCCTGTACTTCATCTATTTTCCTGAACATATCCTTACCAGCACCAACACAAAAGGCTCCATTTCACTCTGCAGCACAGGCCAGTGGTGCAGACACACACAGGGAGCACCTTTGTAAATTCAGAGAGCAGTCACAGCAGGACTTGCAGACCAAGGCACTTGATGTTCATGTATGAGCAACATTATGTCCTTCCATTATCACCCTGCCTTCCAAATGGAGCCCTAAAGCTGACAGCATAGCTATGTTTTTGTTATCCCTGTAACACAGCGCCTTCTACCACAGGAAATTTGCAGGTTACACCAAGCTGAGTGTGTGGTTGGCATACCTGGATGACAGGTGGACCATCCAGAGGGACCTGGACAAGCTCAGGAAGTGACCCATGGGAATCTCATGAGGTTTAACAGACCAAGTGGAAGGTGCTGCATCTGAGTCAGGGAAACCCCTCATATCAATCTAGGCTGGGGGATGAGCAGATCCAGAGCAATCCTACAAGAGGGATTTGGGCTGCTGGTGAGTGAGAGGCTGGACATGCCCCAGCTGTGTGCTCTGGGAGCCCAGAACCCCTCGTGTGCTAGGCTGCATCCAGAGCCCCGTGGGCAGCAGGGCAGGGAGAGCCCTCTTCCTTGGGTCACCCTGTCCAGCAGATTATCTGAAATTATATTCCCTCCTGGCATGCTGATCACACTGGAGTAAAGTGCTGCCTTCTCTTCCTCCTCGCTGCTCTAATGAGGTGGGATTTGAGACCCTGAGGATGGGTGGTCACTTCCACATGGGCATTGGTGAGCCAGGCACACAGAGGGGTGAGCTTCCTCTCCTTGATACGTTCGAGCTGGATGATGACAGAAGAAAGATGTCTAGAAATTGGCTCTTATATTTCACAAAATGGGTCAGGTTGAAGAGACCACAGTAGGTTGGACGACATCTAGTAAAACTTCCCTGCTCATGCAGGGTCATTCTAGGGCATGTGGCACAGGATTGCATCCGGATGGTTCTGGAACATCTCCAGTGAGGGAGACCCCACACCCTCTCTAGGTGATCTGTTCTGGTGTGTGGTCACTGCACAGGAAAGTTCTTCCTCATGTTCAGGTGGAACTTCCTGTGCATCTGTTTCTGCCTCTTGCCTCTTGTCCCATTGCTGGGCACCCCTGAGCAGAGCCTGGTCCATGCTCTGACCCCTCCCTGCAGGCACTGACAGACATTGATGAGGTTCCCTCTCAGTCATCTCCTCCTGAGGCTGAACAGCCCCAGCTCCCTCAGCCTTTCCTCATAAGAGAGATGCTCCATCCCTTCATCATCTCTGTAAACTCCACAGGACCAGCTCCAGGAGCTCCATGTCTCTCTTGGACTGAGGAGCCCAAAACTGGACACAGCACTCCAGAGGTGCCTCCCCAGGGCTGAGCAGAAGGGCAGGATAACAACCTCTACCGGTTCTTTCCTGCCCCTCCTCAAACACAAAACACCCCTGGAGGGGTCAGAGACATGTCACCATCGTCTCTCATTTCTCCCATCTGCCTGCTGAGCCCTGCTGTCACCTGCCACCTTCATGAGCTCCTCCAGACAGAGAGATCATAATGAACGAATACCATTTTGTAAATTAAACCAAGCCAAACACTAGGCAGAGCTCTAAACGGCAAGATGCAAGCACAACTGATTTGCCTGGGAATAATTAAATATCTTGAGAATTCAAAAGGAAGCAGAACAGTAAATTCACCTCAATCTGTGTGGGAGAGGCTTTAAATCAAGGCAATCTAGCAATATCTTAAAGTTGCTAGATCCATGAAGTAAGCCCTGGGGAAGGGAATCCCCTTCAGTAGACAGTTTCTGAACAAATCTCTAGTGCCCCTTTACTGTACAAAGTTGGATGTTACAATGTCCTGGCTCTAGAAGAGATGGAAGAAGGCCACAAGGATTCTACACTGATACTGCTTTGCTACAATGATGGGGCCCCATCGATCATTTCCATCTATTTTATTTCAGAGGTTAAAATGGCACACATGAACCATGTGTCAACCATTGCTCTGCACATGGGCCAGAGGCATTGATTACCAGTCCAGGTCCACAGCCTCAACAACAGTCCTATTGACTTCAAGAAATGAAGATAGATCAAGGTGGCATTTTCATGACCACTGGAAATCTGTTCTCAGACTGTACAAATTTAACCAGAGACATACAGAGAAAAGCATATTTAAACAATATTTTTAAAGAGTCTTGAAAATACTTTTCCAAAAGTACAACTAAAAAACCCCATTTCACAGATTAAATATAACTCTGCTATGACAAATATGCAAACTACCTTAGGATAATGAATATATTGTTAGTGAAATATTTCAAACAGGACAGAACTTATTTTCACTCTCTTCTTGACCTTTATTTGAGAATAAAATAGCCCCAAAAGGCTATGTATTCTGTATTACATCTGATGGCACTAATTCAAATGAGTTTTCAACCTATTTTGGATCTTTATTTCAAACTATATCAGAGATCACAGTACAATCCAAACCCTTGCTCCTTTCCCAGTTTAATTCTCCATCTTGCATGGCTTTCAAAAACAGAAATGCAGTCACATCTGATAAAGAGTTTATTTATTTCTGCTAGATGTTTCATGGTCTAGTAGAAATAATATAAAGATGTTAGAAGAAAGCATAGAAAGCTCAAGAATCAGTGTAATTGAGCGAGCAGAAAATGCAAGGGCTTTTTGAGTTGTTTGTGTAGGGCTTTTTGTTGGTTTGTTTGGTTTGGTTTTTTTAAGGAACAGGAAAGAGGCATGGTGCCAAGACTAAAAAGTCAGGAAGCAAGTGCACTGAAGTCAGTATACACAAAGACATGCAGTTTTTCAATACAGGGGGTAAAATTTTGGTCACAAAAATAGATTGTCCCAGGGGTGACTCCATAGAAAGTCTGTGGTGATTCCACAGGACCGCCTGCACAAAGTCCGAGTCATCTGAGGCCTCCTGAAACCTTTCCAGTGGAAGTGTGCTGAATACCTGAAAATGGGATCTGGGATCCCTAAACACTTTTGAACACGGGAGCTGGAAAGCACTTTATGTTTTTAAATAGATCACATCTCCTTGAATTGTAATTGAATTCCTGAAACACCACAAAAGAAATGACAACTAGTATGCTAATTTCTTTTAAAGTCTTAATACCACAGAAGGACATGTTTTGTTTGTGTTCAGGTAAGTTAAGCCACAGAAAAAAGAAAAAAGCATCCCTGCAGTTGTTTGTCCTGGCCAGGAGGTATTGCCTGTCCAAGGAGAGGGCACACCCAGTTCTCTGGCCCCTGGGCTTCTGGTTTGAGCTATCCAACCAATATTTTGCCTGGCACCAAGCTGTGATGAATTTTGGTTGAAATCAGTAACAGCTGGCTGGCATGAGGCCAGTAACACATTTCATATGAGCTGGTAAAGAGTTTTGGCCATCAGAGGCACAAACCACTTGCAGGTCTGCAAGCTCCCAGAGCAAGATCAGAGAGGGGCTTTTGCACTGCTCCATGCAAAAGGCACTAAGGGACCAAGTTTAAGTCTGTCTAGAGATGTACCCATTGAAAACATCTTGTGGGAAGACATATGGGAGTATTACAAACTCACTGGGCAGTGAAACCATGTAATCAAAGGCAGTGCCACAAAGTACACAACAGAGGAACAAATTAAGATCACCTAAACATCCTTCATCTGTCATCTGAGAACTTCCAAAGTGCATTCATTTAAAAATGTATCTACCTTTCTCATACACACGTATTTACAAACAGAGTTTCTGCATTTATCTCCTGGGTTCTGACTGGAACTGGAAAAATTTTTCACACTAGTGTTAGTCCCCAAAGAACCTCACTGCAAGCAAGCCTCATTAGTCGACAATCCTTTGCTGCCTCTACTTTTTGACGTCTCAGCAAGTTCTCGATCCTTTTAGCTTCTTAGTGGAAGAGCAGTTACACAAAATGATGTCCTATGGAAGACCTCTTACCTGTCCCTTCAGAGCACTTCCCTGGAATGACATTGAGAAAAGGGAATCCTGCTCACTGGGACGGGACCATCCGAGGAACTATGAAGATAGGGAAGGGCCTTGAGGGGAAGCCATATGAGGTAGGCCTGAGGTCACCTGGTCTGCTCAGCCTGAAGAAGAGGAGTCTGGGGGACACCTCACTGCAGGTACAACTTCCTTGTTAGGGGAAATGGAGGGGCAGACACTGATCTCTGCTCTCTGGTGACAGGACCCGAGGGAATGGTCTGAAGTTCAGGGAAAGTTTAGTTTAGATATTGGGAAAATATCTGATTTCTAGGAATTACAGACTGACCCACTCAGGGGCTGCAGCCTGACCTTTCCTCAGCAAGACTGATCCATACCTCTACATACTCTTATGGCACCAGAGGCACAGCATCACACCCCTTGGGCAACAGCAGCACTGATGCTGAGCCTGTGTGAAGAAGAGAAAGGAGAAATTTTTCTTCCAAACATTTAAGGTCCTAGGCTGGACACACTGCCCTTTCTAGCCCAGACTGTTTTTATTTCACCTCTTACACCTATTTGGAGCTGGAATGTGAGAGCAAACACTTGGCAAGGGGAGCTCTTCCAAGGGATGTGCCTGTGAGCGAGGCTTTTATGTTGCTGCAGTCATCACGAGGGCTTTCTAAGTCCACGTCAGGACAGGCAGGTGAGACAGAGACAAAAAGTAAAATCAGCTACCTATTTTTGGAGGAAGAAGCTAGAAAATAGGGGCCAGTTTGAAGTTCTGCCTGAAGCACAAAATCCACAGCTGAAGATTTGAATTCACAGGGGAAGAAACCTTCAATCCCAGTTTTCTGGCACAGGCACCTGCTTAGAAAGTTTTGTGATGTTCTTGCAAAGCCAATATGATGATTTTGCTGACAACAGCTAGGGAAACAGCTAGCACCTGAGAATGGCCAGAGAAGCACAGGAAATCCTTACAGCAGCAGAGCTCCTGCAGTGTTCTTCTGGACAGGCCCAAGACAGCCTGAAAGAATTTGTTCACCAATTTTGGAGAAAAATCTCATAACTCTTCTTATGCTGAATCATATTTTCAGTCAGTATATGTCTGTATAAATAAGTGACTTAAGGATTTTGCTCTGCTAATCGAGTTTTTATCTCATAACACAATATGAATAAAAACAAGTGATAGAAATATTGCACCAGCTATAGCAGTGCTACTCCCAGTTAGGAAGGAGCTGTTAGTGGTGGTATTTATTAAAACCATTCAACCCAAGTGACAGATAGCAGTAAGAAATCAGCTGACTTGTTTAACATATCCCCACATCCTGTGGTTTATTTGCAAGCACTGCAAGTATTCAGTCTGGAAAAACAAAGGCATCTCATTAAAAAGCTCTATCAGCAACTGCAGCATATGTTGCATTAATATGTTAAATTATTGACACATAATGAAGACGAAATGAAAAGCCTCATTGAGGGCTAGGTTCTTCAGATTGAAATAAGTGCTTCTAACTAGCAATGTCCACCAGTGATGGGCAAAAAAGTCAGGAGCAAGGATGCTTGGGGGAAGAGCTCACACTGCAACCTGCCCTCTCCCTTGATTTATGGAGCACAAATGCCCTGAACAATGCTCAACCCCAGCATAGAATGAGCTCTAGAAAGAGAATATCCAGCAACAGTTTTCCATCTGCAATGGAACTACAATGGCTGCAATACAGCCCTGCTCTCAAAGGGTTCTGATTGTACCCAGACCTGACAGATTTCAAATGACATGGAGATAAATTATAGATGTTCTTTTTCTAGACTCCTAAAAACATGTGATGATTGTGGACACTGAAAAGAGAGCCCAGGGCTGGCAATCCCAACAACCTCCCTGCAGCTTCCAAAGTGGGATCCCCAGCAAGGCTTCTGTGATAATTGATAAAAGATTCGTGTTAATCACAAAAGCATTCGGGTTTGTATAAACCAGAATACTAAGCTCTGAAGTGAAGCATGGACATTAGATAAAGGAAATTATATGATAAAATCATTCTGTTTAAAATCACCTTGTTATGCTATATTATGTTGTATTATGTTGCATTATATTATGTTATGTTTTCCAAATAAGTTGTATTGGCTACCAGTTTGCAAAATCAGACTTCCCAATAGCCCTTCCTGCCTTTGTCTGATCAATACTGCCTATCTCAAGGACCAGACTTCCAGAACTTCTCTGGTGGTTATCTACAAGGACCAGATGGCTATCTGTGACTGATTATCACCCAAAGGCTTTGTGAATCTGTGTAAGGATGTTTATTCAACCACCACTGCTTATGACAAAAAAACCCAAAAATTATTGATTACAACGAGAAACCACAGTATAAGAAGAGGCTGCAAACCAAAGTGGAGAGTGAAGTGGGCGGTGACCCCTCGCGTTCCCCAGCGCGCTGCTTGCTCTTTCTATATCAAATAAAGCAGTCTAAATTTTGCTGAATATCGAGACTTTTGTCTCTCATTTATAACACTTCCCAACCCTTCAGAGGGGATTGCAGGGCTCTTCAGGTGCCTATTGAGGCACCTTTCTTGGTAACATCTCACAGATAGACAGAAGAAAAGAGCCTTTAAACAAGGATCCACAGCTCAGAATTCAAAACACAGTTGCTTTGTAACTTTCTAAGTTGGAGTGATGCAAACCAGGGCTGTTTTCCAGCTCATTTGCAGAGGTGACTGTCCTCACTGGATAAGCAATACTGGGCACGGTCTGCTGTGCAAATGCCAGCCTGGAGGTCAGCCTGTAGACAGCTGCTGTCAGCCAGTGACTGCAGAAGAGTGTGGGAGGGAGACCCTAAATTCCAACTTGCTGAGAGATTCAGTGTTGGATCCTCCCAGGCCCAAACCGGAACAAATTCTTACTTATGTGGCTAATGTATTTTACATTTCAACCTTCCTAGGTCATCAAATCCATCCCCTGCTAGCACAGGCAGCCACACCATAGAGGCCATTTCATCCTCACAAACTTCAGAGGAAAGGATGACTGGGAAAGGTATGGGAAAGCAAGTAAAATTTCCTCTCTTGCTATGGAATTTTAATGCAAAATAAATTATGTTAGGAGACAGCAATAACATATGCCTACCTAATACTGACATTAAATACAACAGCTCTCCTCCTAACCTCAGCACGTTGTCTTAATGTAGCATGTTATTTGAGACACAAAGCAGACATGCCACTATATTTGCAGTGCTCCTGTCATGCAGCAATTCTGAAAGCACTACTGTCAAGCTGATATTTTATTACATTTCTGGATATATGCTCACTCAATCATTACATTTTTTTCAGCAATTGTGAAGGTTCAGGAACAAAGATGAATTGTGCTTTACTCCAGACAATTTTAAATGCTGTTGAAAATGGAGAATGAGGGCTGTAACTTCTAATTCAACCCCCATGCCTTGAAGCCCTCTTCTTTTGCTCTTCACTGGCATTTAGTATCAAATTATCCCTGCAAGGAGCCACTGGAGGAAAGCAGTGCAAGGTAAGCAGACTGGTAATCCTGTCATCCATTTTCATAATTTCATTTTATGTAAACAGGCGATTTATTTCCAAGCCAAACACAGCGTTACTGCTGTGGACTAAACAAACAATACTAGCTTTCAGCTAAGTACATTAGCTACCAGGGGACATCGTTTCATCAAGGTCTTTTGGGTTATAATACAGGGTGTAACCAAAGTATGTATTTTCACTACCTTCTGATGAACTGTTAAGATGGGTAGTTTTTTATCTTTATCTTTGCCATGACTGAAGTGTGATAACTCCCTCTAGGGAAGCAGCAGCACCACCCACCCTAAGGAGCTCATCTCTGCTAAGGGGCCATCAAGGATTCCTCAGAATGACTCAGAATTATATCATTCCATAGTGAAATTCTCTGTCCTGAAGGAGGTACCAAACATTTCAGCCTGTATATAATCTGGGGCTCGGGACACCATGACACAACCCATTGGACCTACAGAGAAGGACCAGACCTTTCCACAGACCACCATTTTCGACAAGACCACACCCATCACTCCAACGGGACTGTAACCAACATTTAATCAGACTGCTACCACCACTCTGACCAGCAGGGTGTCAGGTTGTACTCCAACTTTGTTGGTTTAAGGTAGTGTTTCTGTACTATTGCCTGTATTGTAATTTTTCTTCTAATTTGTAACTCCAACTTGAAATCTCTCACAATGTATTTGTGAACAGTTAATTCCTCCTGCTGATTTATCTTCAAACCAGCACAGGATTACACAGCATAGCAAGGGGTTATCACACTGCAGTGAAGGGAAAGCCATGGCCCATAGCAGGGATACTGGCAAACAGAAAGGTAGACAAAAATAATTCAACTGAAAAGAATGCAACATTTGCACATTGCAGAATAGGTTCGTAGGTAAATAATTACTTGAATTACAGTAACACCAAGGCTTCTCACTCACAGCTGAGAGCATTTTTGTGCTGGACATGGCACACAATGACTCTTCACACAGAAGTCTTCTCCATCCCAAGAGGTTTTCATCTGAGTATGATTATCTATGCATATTCAATATCTGTATGCAGAATATAATCCTACACTAGTGGAAAGCAAAGATGATAACAGAAAAGATGTATTCTTTTAATGCAAATTAATGCACTATCAAAATTCTTGGTAGTCTTCCAGGAATATCTATAACATTCCAAGAGATATATTCCAATAAGGTCTGGTACAAAATACTCTTGGAGATGCCTGAGTCCCAAAAATGAAAAGTGATGCGTTAAAATTATGCTGACTGCTTATTTTTTCTCCTCTTACTTTACATTTCTAAAGCAGCAGATGAGGAGAGGCCCAAAAGCTCAGGCACTTGAAGGATTTTATCCAACAAAAGAATTAAGAGCTCCTGTCATGTACCATTTAAACACCATCATACTATAAGAGCTACTTATACATAAGTAATTAATTTTGTGTCTCTCCATTGCTTTTCTTCCATTGCAGAATTCTCCTCAGTCTGCTATCAGAGAATTTCTGCTTCTCTTTCTCCCCACATTTATTGCAGAGGCATCAGTGCAGTGCTCCTCCCTATTCACCCTGACCCTGCCAGTCACAGTCCTGGAGCACTCCTGGAAGAAGAGGTCTTACAGGCTCCACAGTACACAGAACTCCCAACTCTGAGTGCTGATGGCAGGCACCATCGATGTGGTGCTTCAACAATACAGACATCAGAACCAGATCACAATGCCAAGTGGCATTATGTGGTTTTAGTGTTGTAGGAAAATGGTAAGGCAGAATTTCAGAAGAAAATACATTATAAAACAATAATTCCATATAGACATACATGTGCTTATGCATACATGTGTTTAGATACATTCATTATGTAGTGAAGAAAAGCAGCAGCTGCAGTCCTCTGCCCTTTCCTTGACAACCCTCCTGTTCTCTGCAGTTTACATTGCCTTGCCTGGAGGGTTGCAGACTGCTCTGGGGGATGCTCTGTTCTCTGAAGTGCAAGGCATCTGCTGGTAAAGCTGGTGCCTCCCCCTCCATGGAGGGACATGTCACTCTCCAAGGCTGGCTGCTTCCCTCCTGTTCCAAATTATTTCTATTCTCCTTTTACTGGGGATGAGGAGGAAGCACCCATGGTAAGCAGAGGAAAGGGATACTGTTTATGCCCAGGCTCTCTCTTACCCTGCAATTGGAAGGAAAAACTCAAATGCACAGACACAACAGGAGTAAGCAGTACGTAGTATCACAAGCAAAACTGCTGATAACGTGACAGCATAAGCATACACATCAGGGGCTGCATTTCATGTTTTTCCTAGTTTATTAAAAATGGTGCCCTATGGGCTGCTGAGCAGCTGGATATAGCTACAGGGCAGAAGCACCCTAATTACATCTTCATTAGATCATCTTGACCATGGACTATATGAAGGGCTGGAGAAAATAGTTTGCACAGTCCCTTTATGCTTCAATAACAGAACAGCAAGTCCACAAGGCACCTAAAAACAAGGTTCAGTGCATCTTAGCCAATGAACAGATATTTCAACAACAGCTGCAGATCCTTAGTACTGCTTGTGCCATTGTATCACAGGCCTCAATAAAGAGATTCTGGAACATTCAGCATTAGATCAAGTGTCCCTTGGGAGTTAAAAGAATAACCCCACGTAATGACAGCAGTAAAAATCTCTTATCTGTGTGGATGAGCCAACAGAAGAGGTACAGGAATGACAACATGCCTGCCCAGTTTGTGGTATTAGTGCCTCTCCACCCCATACTAAATGCATATGTACAGAGTGAGTCTTGTATTCTACAAAATTAATTCATTACAGGGAAAACCAAAAAAGGTCTTTATGATAGCAGAAGTGATTTTGAGAACAAACATCACAACCTTTTTCTTTTTTAAACAGAGAAAAATCATTGAAAAACTTAATTAGATTTCTAAAGATTATATTAACTATGGAATTTCTACCCAGTTGTGGTTATAAATATTGAAGGAAATTGTGGTTGCCCTGAATCAATAGCTCATTTCCTTTAATTTTTAATAACTTTCTTTTACATGCCAAACTTTGTTTCTGTCCCTTCAAGAGGTGCATTAAGATTACAATGAGAGTTTCTCTTTCTAGGACACTATGGTTCAAATAGTGAATTAGTGCTACAGGTCTTATTAGGAATGGCTGCAGTACCACTGTGAGCAGCATCAAATGGCTCCCTTACAGAGCTTCTGATCTAGAAGTATCATCATTAATAATCCTGCTCCGAGTTGGTGTGATATTGAGTATTATGGAACAACCAATTAAAAAATGCAGACTAATCCTCTGAGAATTTTGCAGGCTCAGTGAAAACTCCAAATTAGTCAATAAAACAGAAATTCCCCAGCTGGGGGTAGGGAAGGCATGTGTACGCTGGATGTGAAGGGAGTGGATAAGTCAGGTGAGGCAGGATTTGTGTATCTCCTGACTGTCCACTGATACACCTTATTAAACACTGCTTGAACCAGGAGCAAAAAAGGAAGCCTAAAGTGGTACTGAGTGTGGAAGGTACCATACTGATCAAAAAACAAAGAAAGAAAGAAAGAAAGAAAGAAGAAATGGGACGGGTTCTAATACTTGGTGTCTTAGATTACAATGTAAGATGTAACCAAAACTATGTATTCCATCACCATCTCCATGAGCTGTTAAAACTAGGTGAGCCAGTGTTCTTTGTCCATGACATATTCCTGATAACTCCCTCTGAGGGATATCTTCTGTTAATGGGCCATCAAGCCTCACAGCACGATTCATGAAATTACATCATCCCATTGTGAGATGCTCTGCCCAGGAGGAGGAACCAAGCATTCCTACCTGGATAAAATCTGAGCCTTGGAACACCACAAGCAGCCTTGTCCACTGGATTTCCAGAGGTTCCGAATTGGAGTCTCTCACTGGTTTACTTTCAAACCAGTACACTTGGATTCAACAAGGTACTTCAGCTTACAACCTGTCCCATTCAAGCCACGTGCATGAAATTCCCACTGAGGTAATTAGCTTTTTGATTTCAATAGGATAAGGACTATATCCATTACAGCTACATACCACCTTGAAGTTCCAAATGCATTTAACTTAACTTACTTCTCAGAAATGGTGCTGAGCTAGTTGTGACTGAGACTATTTGAATTGTCTCAAAAGCTTTGGATTTGCAGAGGACTGAATAAAGTTACAGATTCTTCTCAAATTCAGAAGTGGACCTTTTGTCTATTTGAAAAAGGGAAAGGTGTGTGAGTGGGTATAAAATACGAGAAAGAAGGCAAAATTGTTATGAAGAAAGAACAGTACTCTTGAGATCAACATAATCCCCAGGCTCAGTCTTTATGTCAGTCTTACTAAGTGTTAAGAAAACATTTATCTTTTACATGGCAGAACCTTATGGGAAAATCCTAAAGGCTTCCAAAAGAGACCACTGCAAGTGAAGAACAAAAAATTATCTCTCCTTCTCACAGAAAAATATTTTCAAAATAGAGCAGTATAAGCAAGTTAATTTCACTGAATTATTTAAGAATGTTTACTTTTTCCCCTTAGAGTTTTCTGTAAGTCACAGAGCATTTCAGTGGTTTACACCTTAATGCTTCTACTTTCATGCCAAATTCTAACAATCTTGCAAATGATGAAAAAAAGATGGTCCACAGGGATGTCAACAACTCAAGTTTTAGCACAAAACCAGGCTATCCTTTTCTCTTATGAACAACTGAACTTGCAAGTTCACAGCTTTTACTAAAAAAATATTCTAGTTCTTATTAAAATAAAAATCCCTGCACTTCCATAAATGATCAAACAAACAAAAGATCCCATTAGTCTCAAACATTTCAAAACAGTCAGACATCCTAGTGAAAAAGAGATAGGAGACTTGAATCAGGAACTATCTTTTGAGAGCTGCTGTTTGCCATGCAAACCAGTTTCCCCCTGCCATTTTGAGATGCTTGTCACAACGCAGGGTCAGAAATGAACACATAAAGTGCAAAAAAAGAGCACCCTGCACTTTAATGTGTTTCTTCTGTAGCCCTCATCAGATACTGCTCTGGTGGTAAATCTGATTGCATATTCTTCATTAAAGGATATGAACTAGGACAATAGACATGGAACAAAAACCAGTGTTCAAATACTGGGAAAGGTCACATTTTGAATACCTGTTCCTGCTCCAGCAGATCTTGCAATGCAGACATGGTCCTAGATTTTTCTCTAAGCTGTGGTTTATCACCCCCCTGCATATACCTCTGTCACAGAGGCTGTAGCACAAATAACATGATTCCATGGTACTCCAGATGTTGAAGACTAAGGAATAAAAGGCTGAACTGCTATTCACCTTTTAGACAGAATGAAAGGGAACAGTTAATTATCAGTTTCTGCCTTTCCAATGACACATTTATAGCCATCCCCCTGTACTCAGCAGAAGCATACCAGGCTCTGTTCCATGTGCTCATTCAGAAAGACTCTCCTAATCAGAAGTCAAGCCAAATGGAAAAAATAATTACTGAACAGGGAATTCGGCAGACCTCTGGCATAGTATCAAAGTCCCAGAGCCAGAGACATGAAATGTGAACTGCCAGGTAAATTGTAGTTTTAAATATTGT